CTATAAATGAAACCTATACATACCTGATTTACTTTGAAATTAAAACATTTAGGTCATATTTGTACTTGATTTTTTAATGGTTAAGAGGCTTATCTGGGAGGGGAGAGACTTTTCCCCACCCTGTGCTGTAATTAGCCCAATATAGAGAGTGAAAACAGCACTCAGACAGGCAACAAACCTGAAATTCCATATGGATAATTGTCCCTCTCTTGAAAATGAGGAAGTTAAATCACTCCATGCTGTGCTTAAAACAGCATCAGCAATGCTTTGGTGCAGAACAGAAAAAGCTTAGTAACCACTAGGAAATTAAATTCAATTGAAATCACACTGTAGCAGCTGTGAAAATAGTCCCCAAACTCTCATTTTCCTCTTGGAAAAGCCACAGGATTAGTTCTGGAACTATTTAACAACATGTCTCAATCTGCCACTTCTAGTTTTTAAGTGTTAAGAGAGGGAAACTTACCTTCCAGACCAAGTCCAAGTGTCCAAATTGAGGCAGTGCAAATCATTCATTCTGGTTTGCTACAACAAAGAAATAAAATCCCAGTTGTGTTATATTAGGCAAACAGCAAGCAAAGTACTCCAGGGAGACCTTTTCCCAGGGCAGAATATTCAATGTAACAACAGTTAGAAGCAATCTGTACCAGTGTCTTAAGATAAATCTGTATTTTGTGGCAGATGCAAAGCTTTCCTTCTCCAAAACCAACATGCAATTCCCAGGAAAATGCCTGTCAGGAGTATTTCCAGTCATGCAACAGCACTATGGGGCCAATTTTAGCTCTTAACAGTGAAGAACTATGTAATGTTTATTCAGTTCCTGTAAATGTATTTAAGTTCTGTCCACAGAACTCATGGTAAGGAAATGCAGAAGGTTTTTTACTCTCACAGTTGCCTCACGTTATTGTTCTTTGCATTCTCTGTATCCTCCTGCCTGGTGCACTCAGCTGAGAGCTGTGAGTCCCCTGGGGGCTACCAAAAATACCTGAGAAGTAGGGAAATGGATCTTGCCTTACCTTACAATTCCTTTTCTCCTAGGGCAGTCCATAGATCTATTAGATTAAGCCTTTCTCCAGCTTTGCAGATCCTCTGAGGCCGAAACTAGCCTGGGAAGTAGGATTAGTTTTAACCCTGAGAACTCAGCCTGTGAAGGAGTTTGGGACACTTCCAAGAGCTATGGGAAGTCTCCCAGGGGATTTCAGGAAGCAGCAGGGTTTTCAGGATAGCTATGGCCTCCTCTGACCGTGTCCTAGCCCTTTGCTGTCCCAAGGAGGAGACTGTTAACCAGCATTTTGGGATGCCTTCGGGGAGGGCAATAGGCTATGGAAAAGCAGAACTTGAAGGCTTTGGGGCATTGCCTGAGAAACTTTCTCCCTGCAAGAGAGTGAATGTAACAAAGTGTGATCCAGCTGACAGATCTGTCTTCCATGACAAGTCTATCCAGTTTCCTGCTCCTTCAGGTGGATTGGAAGGAGATGAGGAGCAAATTCTCCAAGCAGAAAGCAAAATGCAGTTAGTATCTTCTGCTGTAGCTGCTCGCAGCCAGACACTTGGGGTGGGGTGGGGGAAAGCAGCATCTTGGCCTCTACAACTGAAAATACTTAATCATCTTGGAATAATCTGCTACGAAGGACATGATCAAAGAAAGGGAAGAGAGTTGCTGTTATGTTGGAAATTAAGGTGTCAAGAAGCTCCTGTTCAAGACCTCCTTTGCTGACTTTCCTTTCCTAGGCATTAGGCAGAAGATGGAGAAGTTTCCAGTTTCTTGGTCCCTGGGAAATCAATGTGTTATAATCTTTACATTCTCATGATTCAATAGCTTGACAGATGCATAATTACACCAAATCTCATTGTGAATTCAAAGCACAGCATCAGGTGCACACTCCTGTCCAGGATTCAGTCCTTTAACATGGCTTTAACAAATGAAAGAGCTTTTCTACCCAACCCTTATCTGGGAAACTGGAAATCACACAGGTCATAGCATCATCCCTTGCAGTTCCTCATGTCTTGCTAACTGCTACTGCTATATTTAATCATTCTGCTGACAATCCTACAGTGACTCTTAATTGGTTTAAAAGAATCAAGCCACAAAGGAGGGTTTGCATATCCCTTGGAGCTCCAAGGACTCCTGAGACATTCCACTTATCTCTGGCATGTTCATTTATTTGCAGCCCAATAAACATTAACTGGGATCTGCTTTGTCTCAGGATTAGCTTTTCCAGCACCACGAAGGGTGTTAAGGGTGACATTATTCACAGCTCAGTGCTGTTACAGTAAATCCTGCAGCTCTCCAGGCTGGATTTACAATCAGTTATTCCAGCTCCAATCTTTGGCAAGAGAAGCATTGCAGTTCCAGGGATCTTCTGATCTTCAGGGACAGAAAGGATAACAGGAAATAGAAACATGCATACATTAAGGCATCAGATGTGTGAAGAGCTGCTGGAAAGACTTTGGTTTGTTACTTCATTCTTTACACTTAAATCAAACATGAGACTTGCATCAACTTTTGGACTAACTCTCCTTTCCTTCCCACTCTCTCCCATTTCTGTTTTTCCAGGGGCTTACCTGAAGGAACAGAGTCCACATAATACTTCTGAGCCTGTTTTCAAATGACTCCTGGTACAATTGATTTTGATCATCACCATCATCTTCTTTTACCAGTTCTAGCTCCAAGTTTGGAAAAAGGTGCCCTTTCCTCCCAGAAAGATGAATAGGAGAAGCCTCATGACACTTCCTGGCCCTTTCTGGTTCCTTGCAGAGCCTTTTCCCTGGGAAGATTTGTATTATGGTGAACTAGAAGGAGAAGGAGGAGCAGAGCAGCCCAGTATTTGCTCCTTAATTTATGGTGAAAAGCAAGACTTCATCCTTTGGGGAGAAGTTACTCCTGCTGTCAGGAAATGGAGTGTTTTTCTGATGGCTTTAGCTTTCCTGTTTCATGACTTATATTAATTCCTCATGCCCCACTGCATGTTCCCTAAGTTTCCTTCCATTTATTTCTAGGCTAGAAAGTGAATCAATAATAATCACTAAGGTGAAAATGACACTTGCTGTTCTCATACAGAATCAAAAGGAGCTTTCCACAACTTCCCTCTTCCCTGACATGCTTCCCAAGTGGTTTCACTGGAATTTAGCAGGTTTTTAAGGAAGCTGCTGCTACATGAGGAAGAGCAAAACCTTGTCAGATCAGAGCCTTCTGCATCTTGTAGTCAAACAGAGTTAAAACAGAAGCCTGAGGGCAAATCCTCTGAGGGCACATCTAATCATGCACAGCACAGTGGAGAAATGACAGGTGAGCTGCAGCTTACTAACCATTTCACTTGCAGAGGCTGCTTGAAATCCAGGCTGAGTTACAGAGCAGTTGCAAGAGGCACAGTGCAGCAACCCCGAGCTGAGCACACAACCCTCAGTGATGTTCTGGGTGAAGCCTCAGAGCTCTGTGAGGCACAGACAGCCCTTGGTAATAAAAATCCTGAGGGAATGAGGCTGTGGAGGCTGAGGGAGGGTTAAGAAATAAATGGGAGGTCAGAAGGTCCTGAGCTGCCTGTTTACTGCTTCACATCTGGGTTTGTTTCTCTCTCAGGCCTGTGGGGTTGCTAAAGGAGGAGCAGGGCTGGGCTGTGGGCAGAGGCTAGCAGCAGGCAGAGAGGAGCAAGGCCATGGCAGAGGCACAAGGGCAAACTCAGCCTGCCATGGACACTCCTGGCACACAAGGCCTGATAATTTTTCAGTCTCTCCTGAAATCCCTTTATTTCCTTAAGTTATCTGCAAATCAAACCTGCAGCTCTCTCTCAGGCACAGGTGGGACTTGAGCAACAATTCCAGAGATCCTGAGCCTGGATCAAAGGCCACAGAATGCCAAGAACAAACAGGAACAATTTTTGGTTACTTTACTTCCTGATTGCTCTGAAAAAGTACTTAAATACAAACTTTTCCTGCAGCTGTGGGAGGCAATTCCAGCTAGAAACTGACTGGACATGGTGTGGCCCTTCTGCCCCTGCCTTGGGATTGGTTTGTCTGAGCAAGCAGGAGTCAAAGCCACACAGAACTGTAGACATGCCCTGGGAAGAGCATTATGGTACAGCTTTTCCAGCAGGAAAAGCAGAGAATAGGGAACAAAGTACAGTTTTACACTGCTTTGTTTGCCAGTGCTTGGGGATACAGGGGTTAGGTTGTGGCAGCTTTCCAAGATGGAGTTGCAGGGCATTCCCAAACAGCTAATTCCTTCTCTTTCAGACAACAGAACTATAGAAGCAGCACTGGAGGATTTCAAAAGCTTCTTCACTTTTATGCTTCAGAGGAGCAGAGATAGAAAACATTCAGTCTCACCCTCTAGGATTAAAGGCTCTAAATTAGCTGCGGCAAAAAGGGCTAAAAACTTAAAATTAAAGAAAAATACAGAGTACACAGTCACTTAAATTAGGTTTTTTACTTGCCTACAGAATGTTTCTTACACTAAAACTTCAGCAGAGAAGAACTAAAGAGAAAATCTCCTCTGATTAGCTCTAGAGAATTTGAATGTGTTGCTGAGAGGTTTTAGTATCTCTTTGCTTACCACTGGTAACCTCATGCGTTTTAGGGACAGACAACACAGGGATGATGCCTATGGCTTTTTTAAGTTAAATAGAGTCAGAAAGGGTTAAGATTATACAGCTACAATTCAGCCTTAATTTAAATATACAGTGACTGCACCCTGACTATTACCTAAGGGACAACAGATTTAGGATCCTCCCACAGTGTACTAAATGGTAGAGTCTTGGATCAGCTACCAAGAAAGCAAATCCCAGGCTCACTCCTGTGGAAAAGAGCTTGCTGGCTGCACAGAATCAAGCTGGAGCAGCAACCTCTGTGGAGTGCTGCACACATCCTGTATCCAGGGCACAGAGCATGCTGAAGGGAAAGGCTGAGACTGCAGAATTAGCATTCAGAGAGCAGAAAAGAGGCTTCACAGGGCTGCAGTGACCTGTGCCTGCAGCAGCCTGAGCTGTCAGGTAAGATGCTGCAGCAGCCTGAGTGTACAGAGACTAACAGCTTTGCACCCAGACATTATCACCCTTATTTCAGTCACTTATGTGCAAAACATGACAAAAGCTTATAATTTATACACATTATCAATTATAAAGCCAACCAAAATCTGTTATTTACCACAGTCACCTGTGTTTTCCCTTTCTGGGGACAATATGTGCTTCATTGTTAATGCTACAGACAGAAAGACTTCTTTTTGTGGAGGGTGATGACAAGCAGCATTCTGGATTGAAAGCCTCTAACATCCAAACACATTTGGGATTTCTTTTCCTATTACAAACAGAATCTGACATCAAGAAATAACTGCCAAGAAAAGATGTAATTACCAGCACTCTTCCTCCAAAGATGTAACCTTTATTTCCCAGCACAGCACATGTATGAGCTGCTCTTGGCTGAGGTGGATCTCCACCCTGAAAGAACCAAAAGAAGATCCTTCAGAACAATGTACTTAGCTATTGACTTCTTGCATAAACTCACCTGGATTCTACAAGCATTTACAGAATACTCTCATATTAGCATCTGTAAGGCAGAACCTAAAGTCTCCTGTGGTCAACTCTGTTATCTGTGATAGGTTATTCATGTTAATTGTACACATTGTAATCCAAGGCAGCTCTGCTCTGGAGCCAGGCTGGGAGAGCTGGGGGTGTTCAGCCTGGATAAAAGGCTCTAGGGAGACCTTAGAGCCCCTCCCAGTGCTTAAAGGGGCTCCAAGAGAGCTGGAGAGAGACTTGGGACAAGGGTCTCGAAGGACAGGACAAGGGGGGAATGGCTTCCCACTGCCAGAGGGCAGGGATAGGTGGGATACTGGGAAGGAATTGTTTACTGTGCGGGTGCTGAGGCACTGGCACAGGTTGCCCAGAGAAGCTGTGGCTGCTCCATTCCTGGGAGTGTTCCAGGCCAGGTTGGATGGGGCTTGGAGCAACCTGGGCTGGTGGAAGGTGTCCCTGCCCATGGCAGGGGGGGGAACTGGATGGGCTTTAGTGCCCCTTCCAACCCAAACCAGTCTGGAATTCTATGGTTTCTTGGTGTGGGACAGGATGAATATGGAGCTGCCCTGAGTCTCTTCCGGACCCAAAGCCCTTCCAGGACCTACAAGGACACCCAAAGTTGGAATAATCATAATCCATTCCTGCAGGACCCAAGGCTGCTCTGTGAGGAGCCAATGAAACACCTCAACCCCCATTCCTCAGCCCCACTCTGCTCTTCATAGCATCATTCACAGAATCATTC